ATCAATCGACGCCAAAAATAAAAAGTGTTGATGTTCAATTTCTGCTTAGGAAATGTTGGATTTTGCAATGGTATTGGTGGGATTTCATCGAGATATCAGAGCTACTGTACATTACCTCGACCAGAACAAACTGATTTTGATCAGCGTTCAAACTACGGTAATGAAATTAGCCAAATGGCTAAGCATATCAACCAGTTATATGGCTCTTACAATACGCAGCAACTTCAGCAGCCATCAGTGAATGCTAATACTATCGTAGCAAAACAGGTAAGGGAAAAAAATTTTTAATTAGTTTTCTAAAAGTAGCAATTCTTCAGAAAATTTGCATTTCAATTTTGAGTAGTTGATTCTAAATTACCAATTATTTCAAATTTAATAATCGTACTGTCTTGGCTTGGCTAAAGGTTTTAACGAAATATCTATTTTAAAACAAGTGCATAGTGATAATTGCATCAGTATTGAACTGATATTGTTTTACTTATAAGACTTGATTTTGGTAAATATCTTAGAAAGCTTAAAAAAAGTTTTTTTCCATATAACTTACCATAAAATTTATTCGAATACAACTTATTGATATTGATTTAAAGTTATCTAAGTTACAAAGTGAGCTTCTAATGAACATTATCATAGAAAGTTTTCAGTTATAAGGCTTGAAAGTAATGAATTTAATTTAATGCATTAATTTGACAGATTTATTAAAGTTGAATTCATTGATTATCCGTTATGGAGCTTTTGAGCCTTTGCAGTCTTTTATTACAAATAGCGAAATCGCAAGAGCACATAAAAGATTAATATCTTTTCCTCAAGCGATTCTGATACTTTTATTTCAAATATATGCTTGCCTACGTCAACTACCATTTTTTATTACTTGGTGGATTAACTGATTCATAATTTAATTCATTAATTTTTAATCAAATCATTAATAATTATTTTATATTAATTGTGTTATTTTGTTTTTATGGCTAAAAGTATGCATATGGAAAAAAAGAAAGAAACAAATTTTCGCCAGTCTTTGGTCAGTCGAAGTTATGCGAAATATTTTTGGGGCAAGAGAAATTTGAACTTTGCATAGATATATTTTCGTCTGTGACTAAACGTCTTCGCTAAAAATTACGGTAAAAACTATGCTATTCAAAATAGTTCGCCTTCTGTATCAATTCTGATAGCTGTCTATAGAACACATTTTATTTTTGCTTTTTTGATTGCTTGAATTTGCCTTCTCATTAAAACAAATTATTCTACTAATTACTCTTCAATTATATCTTTTTTTTT